AGAACACATTAATATTACCAAAAAAAACACATTACTAAAAGAATTTCAATCACAAAAGCAACACATTCGTACCTGACAGCAAAAACAACAACAACAATGATAATATTCAACGAGTCCGAAAATCAAGAAACGTTTTCGACAGAAGAACGCTGACAACAAGATCACGCATTGAAACGTTGGATAAACCGAAGTAAAACGTTAGTAACCTTAGTGAGGATGGTCATTTCAAATCCAAACGCATCTTTGTAAGTTTTTGATGAATGACCCATATAATTACCAACAAGAAGTACCATTTGAAGAAATATCGCAAAACCAGCCGATGTACGAATCTCATCACAAGCTTCGATCACTGCTGATATTCCCTTCAAAGAATCCATGACAATCTTGCAAAAAATGACTGCAACATCAACTGACCTCAATCAGATTTATTTCTCAAATCCATTCAGTGGACATTATCGGACAGATGAAATGTACAAAAAAGATTTTGTTTGTAATAAAGGAAATGAAACAAACAAATACCGGCTTGAGATCATTCAGGGTCTCGTTAAATCTCAACATAAACACAATTGAATCAAGACGTGCCGGTAGCGCTTTTATCGATGCTAATGTGGCCGCAAACTGGAACAGGATCATTCATTGANAATCTAATTGAAAGATTATGGATGAATGCTTATGAACTGTTGACCTGTTCTCCCTCTGGCATTTCACTGAATTTCTTCTCGGGCAATTCTCTGAGTTTGTTCAACATTTCAATGGGCGGTAATGCGGTACGTAACTGTTGCATTGTACCGGCATCCAATGTCTTATCATCAACTTCCAATAAGCAGCGTTTCCACTCACGCAGTGATAATTTGCATGATCCTTGCAAAATGGCTGAAAGTTCACTTACGATCAGATGGTCATCGATTTGGCCAGATAAAAATATCTGGACAATAGATGCAACGAGAGGATTTTTATCTGATGTGAACAATTTCAGTAGCTGCTACAAAACAAAATCAATCTGGAAAGGCAAAAAATAAGAGGAGAAAATAAATCTGATGAATGTGTAGCAACAATTGAGACAATGATATATACGTTGAAATTAACAGATGATGAACTAACCCAAAGCCTGAAGTACTTTATCATCATTGATTACCAGTGGCATTTTTACTTTCTTCTTCGAAAGGCTCTTCGAATTCGCAGTCTTAGCAAGTTCCGAGTCGTTTGTTGGCAATGCTGGACGACTGCAAACAAGCCCAATTAACCAGACAGCACTATTCAACAAAATGAGACAATAACATAAAGTTTTAGACGATCTTTGCACGCACTGTAAATCGTACGATAATGATTTTATATACACACAGACACACGATTACAACGTTGCGATTGAAATGATCAGTTTTCATTTGATTTTATTCACGACCAACGAAATGATGAATGAAGAATCAATCGCAAGTAAATCGCAAATACCTTGTTGCGAATTTCATTTTCAGTGTTTCGAAAAGTCTTTCGTTAGCGAATTTCTCCTCTGAGGTTTGCGCCCAAAATGAATCTTTCGCTATCTGAGTTGGTTTGATCTGAAATGGAAACACTGGGTCAAAGGAGGCGAATATAATGAAAAGAAGGTTAAAATGCAATAATAAAGCAGATGATATGCATATGAAACAAATAACAATCAAGAGGTCACATATGAATTTAGAACATATAACAATATAACAATCAACAGGTTACAAATGAATTTCTAAATTACTCGATTATGTTCAATGAAAAAAGGAATGCACGTCGTACCGTAGCAGAACTCCAAGCGATCTTCTTCAACGGTACATCAACGCTTCGTTGCGCTTTCCTCTTCAAATACTCCGGTATTTCAGGAGTTGCTGGTGCTGATTTGGACATACCGAGAGGAGGCGGCGGTGGAGGGCCCTTCATGCCGGGAAGTGGCGGAGGGGGTGGCGGTGCTGGCGGACCACCGCCTATTCGCAAACTTCCTGCAAAAACAAAAAACATAAGTGATTATTTGATTGATTACGAACAGAAGGTAGCGAACCGAGAGAAACGAAAAAAAAAACTCGAAATCTCCCTACCTGGTGGAGGTGGTGGAGGTGGA